TGAGTCTGGTAATCAGCATCCCTCCACACTTGCCTGTCTGGGAACTACTTTGCTGTCACTACGCTTATCAAACGCCATGGCTACCAGTGCTGACCACAACAAACTTTTTGCAGCATATTTTGAAGTGCTCAGACTTGCATAAACTCTGACCTGGACCCCTCCCATTCACAAGAAGCAAAGACCCACTAAAATGACCACACCATAACTTACAAAAACTTAACACAGTCTGCAAGTGGCTGAATGGACATTACATGTATGGTATGCTGTTCCCTTCCTGAATGCTCATGTGTGACCTTAGGCTTTGTCAAGCAGTCCTGCTTTTACAGTTTGAACTGAACTTCCCAATCACTGAACCAACAGTGGTAAAGTGGTAGGCTCAAGGACACAACTGCTATTAGTTCAACTGAATACGAACCCCTGATTTAAAGGTTCAGAAGTTCTGACACATCCAGTGAGGTCGGCATGGCATTCACATGGTTGGAAAAAAGCCAATGGGGAGAGTTTCACAAGCACTAAATTAAAACACAATTCCACAATGGCACAGATCGCAAAATGCTTAAACACGCTAATTTCAAATAGGATTAAAATGTTGTAATGGCTTTTACGGCATAATGTTACACCAACCTTCACAAATGAAACAACTTTGTTGACGCCCTCTTCAAACTCTGAATCAGAAGTTGGAAAATCTGACGTCTGTGACTCTGAAAATGAAAAACAATTGTTACCAAATCGAAAACAGTTAACATGAGCAACTGAAAATATGGTGCGCCGTCAGCATTCATCCCCCAGAAGGTCTATTTTTGGTGTGAGAGTCGACATAATTAAATGCATGGTGCTATGCCAATCACAGCACGTTGTAAAGGTAGGCTACCAACAAACAAACCTGATGTAAAGTAACAAAGAGCAGAATTCAGGACTGATTGCAACATCCTATCGGTTAACAAGAAGGGGTAGGTGGTTAGTTCAGAGTGGGCGTAATCAATAAGTAACGCAGTCATACGTTCACCTACTGTCAGAATGCGAAGTGTGCTCCCGCTCACGTGAGAATTGCTCCTACATGCCGTCCCTAGTGGAATTTGAATTGAATGCAGTTTCAAGTTCTGGTTTGTGGGAGCCAATGTTGAGCTCTCTGTGTAAGACTTAGTACACAATTAGTAGCGACAAATGAGGCATAATGCCACTTTGTCATCTGTGCACACACTACAGACGGGTGCCATCTCACAGACCAGAGACCAAAAAGAGGCCAAACCAGAAACAATCTTTACCTGACTCGGTCAAGCTGCCAGCCATCAAGTCGTCGGTGTTGCTGGTGACAGAGTGGTCCTTTCTCCTGCGTTTGCTTGAGGGCAGGTCATCCTCTGTTGTGTCATCCGCAGCGTCTGTGCCAAGGTGCCCATTCAGCTTACTGAGGTCACCTGTCTCATTTGACGCATCTCTGCGAGCTCTGGAGGAGATAGCAAAAGAGGAATCAATGCATATTAGTAAGAAACGTACAATCATGCAACAGAGGAAAACAAATTGTCAGTCAATTAATAAACATTTTAGCATCACACACATCGTAAATAAATAAAATTTTTTAACCCAACCAATGCTTAACACTCCTCAATCCTTCACCTGTTGGAGGACTGAGGAGTGTTAGGGTTAAATCAGCAATAGTCTGCATAATCAAAAAAACCCAAAAAATCAAGGATTAGGGTTAAACCTCCAAATCCTTAGATGTACAGATGAAGCTAGCAACTGGACATTCCTGATGGTTCCTCTACTGGGACAAAGCTCAGTGTTTGGGTTTTGATCAGAGCGACTGCCACTCAACAGCGACTAGGAATACTAGTTGTCACAATGCTTTTTGCCCATTGGTGGAGACACTGCAAATGACCAGTGACAACGTAGTCAACAGATGCCTCTCCAAAAGCACATGTCCCTGAAAAAAGTCTGACACTAAAACTTCATAAAGAATGAGAAACTCAGTACATAGAGATTGCCTGAGGTAGGGGCGAGTTATTACCTGTGAGGCCTTTCTCTCCTCTCACAGCGGCGATCTCCATGGGAGTCACTAGATCTTGCGCTCTTCACCAAGCTGCGTCCCAGCTGTGAGAGCAAACATAATTAAGGCCTGTAGGTTTGCCAGGCTTTCAATGGCATAGTACTGAACTACAGAAAGATATCTTTTCTTGAGAAAGATCGTAAGAGAGCTCTATCAACTTTAGACATCTTGATATGGACAAATTTGGCCATGAGAATTAGAAACTGTGACCATGCTGGTGGGTAGGTGGTGTTCTTTTGTACGATGCACAATGCCGACTTCCAAAATGCCAAAGCATCCTAATTGGCGTCTCCTTAGATTAGTCACAAGACAAGAAGCCAATCACGATAGTATAAGTGTTCATTTTGATGTGAAAAATTATTAACAATCTTAAGAGACATGCTTACCAACTGCCCTGTTTATTAATGTCTTAGCTATATGAATGCAGTTTATTTTGAGAAAGTGCACAATCATTTTGCTGTACTGCAACTCAATTTTACAAATGACCATGTCACATTTCAAATTCAGTCCAACCCACTCCAAATGGAATGTAGGCCCCAAGTGTGCGTTAAACAGCGCTTTTACCAACTGGTGCAAAATTTGTCTCCTTAGACTCATCTCAATTTTCAAAGATGTTTCAAAATGGTTGATTGCCAGACAAAACAACTTCACAAAACCTTGAGTGCCATTATTCTTTATAATTGACATAAGTAAAGTTTTCAACAATAATTTGTCTAGTCATTTTTCAGATAGGTGCAAATGGTCCCTTTTCCCAACAAACACTAGACCCACCTTCTTTGGGGTGCTTTTCTCTGCAACTTGGAATAGGTATTCGTCAAAATCTGATTCACTCCCGCTGCTGACTTCGAGGACGTTCTCTGAACGGTTTATCTCTGTGTTTGGGCTCGTTAGTGGGGATTTGGAATCACCGAGGCCAGTGTTGGTGGCAGTTCCTTTTCGTTGGTCTTTGCTGGGGGTATTCAGATCAGCTCCTTTGTGGCTTTCAGCTGAGGTTGTTGCATTTGCTTCTGTAGATGACAAAGAAGGAATCCAGACATGAGACTGTTGGTAACATTTGATAAAGTCTGCTGGGCATGCGATAAATGGTGACTGTGATACATGGAGATATGGATAATAATATTTCCAACTAGGTCACTTGGGAGACATTTTGTGGTAAATTTTTCAACATTAGGGAGACATTGGTCATTAGGAAGACATTTCAAGGTCTCCCTAATGCTCCAACTACCAAAAGGAGGAAAATTTTTAGTGTCCACATTTTGAGAGATGGTAGATTAGGGTCTGAAAGGAAAACATGCAAAGTTTGGCTAAGATCGGATTAGGGAATATTGAATTATGGGACGGTAAAGTTTGAAAAATTTTGTGCACGTTCCTATGAGAATGTCTCCCAAGTGACCGATTTTTGGTAATGTAAGTAATTATAATAATAATAATTTATTCATTTATAAAGCGGAAATTTCATAAAGATATGTTCAAATACACTGTACAATAAAGACATTAAGCGTGGAACAAATGAATACATCTAAACACAGTTGAGCCGATAGCATACAAGGGCGCCTCGGGCAGCCGCCAGTCGACCCACATTCACCATCATCAGTAAAGGGGAGACAGTAAGAAGCAGTTACAGTTTTAGACGTGGGAGGAAAACCCCAGAGGAATATTCTGGGTAAAACCCACGGAATCAGGTAGGGACTGAAAACTCAATCCACATGTGGACCGGCCGGGAATCGAACCCGGGACCACAGAGGTGGAAGGCAAGGAAAGAACTACCTTGCCAACCTAACTCCCATAAACAATGCAGAACGTCACATTAAGTTTTCACATACAGTTCACTTAACAAGGTTTTGGTGTCCCATTCCCAAATCAATTTTTGTCTGATTAACGTGGCTCTCAATTAGACACTACTCAGACGAGTAAAGTTACTGCGTTCTCACCATCCAGATTTTGCAGGTGTAACTCATCTGCCGTCCAGATTTTGCTCCTATCAGCAATTCAATTATGCTTTCAAAAGTGACAAGTTCAGTTTTTGCTTAGTGTTGGTCACAAAGTGGAAATCAACCACAACTGACCACAGGGAAATAACAGTAACAAAACGCAGCTTACAATTTCTTTAAAAATGTTATCAATTGTCTTGAATCTCATTAGTGAAATTGAAGTGGCTTTAAAATAAAAAAAAACAACTCGTACTACAAATACGCATGTTTTATCACTGTTAAAACTTAATCTTAAGTCCTCACCCTCGTCTTCAGAACCATCAGTGTCGGATGTGAGGTTGATTTCAGCTTTTTCCTGTTGCGATTTGATGTAGTTGGGTAATTTATGCACTAGCTTCTTGTGAAACCGATCCCTCATGGACTGCCAGCTATGGTCTGTTATCTGTCAAAAGCAAATCCGAGTCGTCACAACGAATGAGGGATTGAGAAAATGACCACAGTTGCTGTTTCTGGTCTAAAAGGCTCGTAAGGCAGTGGGTGAGAGTCCACATGCTCTTTATCCCTGCAAGAGGCAGGCTCTTTCAGACCATCTCACAAGTGGTGCGGGGAAGGGGGTCAGCCAGATCTCGGCTGTTCCTTGTCTGATGTTTTTTAAACTTGGCACATACTCATTTTGTGTTTATGTACGTACGAAGTTTCAATTCAATCTGGCATTTCTAGTTCAATGTCTCACATACTGTCTATCAGCCTGTGTGCATTGAGCATGTGCCACTGTGAAACATTGGCATTTGTGGTTGATCTGTCTCAAAAAAAAATGGGCATTTTGTGAAAACACAATTCATAAAACTGATGTCAAAATGAGAACTCGTACATCACCACTACAAAAGCACCTGAAGGGTTGGCACAGAAAAAAACAACTGCAGTGCTGTAAGAGATACCGCCAGAATCTGTGTACCCCAAACTGTTTTAGGGTTAAAACGTTATGCACACAGACCACATCAGGGCACGCATTACCTTGAGGAATTCCATCTTCTTCCAGATTTGGTTTCCAGAGTAGCTGCATTCTGTGTGTTTGGCAATGAACGCAATAATAGCAGCATCCTCACTGCTGTCATACTTGCTACGCCTGCAGGAAATCGTGACTGACTCGGTAATGATTAAAGCATTTAACAAAGTAAATAGGCCTTTAATTGTTTAACCACTAAACACGGCAGCCAACTTGGGATATACAGCCAAGTGCCACACACACTGATATGCGAGAGTCATTTGAACATTATGTGTGATTTATCTTACCACAACCTCACATTTTTTCAACATTCCGGGGCGCAACCACGAAGCAATCTTGGCAACAACAGGCAATGCACTGCAGTCAAGTTCAAGTTCAGCACACAATTTGCCTCCACAGACTTCTTGGACTGTGATTGTGTGTAGAACAGTCGAGGATCAGAGTGTTTTAAACGTCAGCTGATGGGGAGTCATGCGCGCACTCAGTGTTTGAACCCGTCAGTTGTGCTTACTTGTACAAGCAACCTAAATCATGCTTACTCATCCTCCGTTGCAAAGTGGCTAAAGAGCCATGCAGTACAACTGTAAACATCCAACATTTCCTCAGCATCTTTGCCAGAAACCTTACTGAATGCCCCAAAAATCTCCCACTAATGAAGCCAACTACGAAAACCAACAGTGTCAAGTGCCATGCAGAGTAACAGTGGCTGGACTCTCCCTCCCCTATTCTGCAAAATTCTCCAAAACTTCCCGGCATATTTTGTGAATTTGGGAAGGTTAGGGTTACACATTGGATTTGCACTCTGCCTCTAAGAGCTCAGGTTATAAAATTCTTGGAAGAAATTCTTAAAAATGTACTTTTAAGCCCAATTGGCTTGTATTTTCATTCGTTTACCAATTTCCCGACTTTTTATGCAAATTTGTAAATTAAATGTTTTTAGGCTTCAATCATCACACGTACAGCAACTTGAGTGAAGAGGTTGATTATAAATTACTAGTATAAATTACAGTACATGAAACTAAACCAGCCTTGCTTCGAACATGTACAAGGCCCTGTAGTCATTAGCCATGTAACAGGTAAGCTGAGCCTTGAATGGACCAATTGTATCAAACTGCCTTGCTCAGGAGCAAAATTACTGAGATCTCACACCTGGGTCTGGCCAATGCTTCAAAGGATGCAAGATCCAACAAGACGCCAACATCCGACTAGATCTTACTGCATTCCTTTCGGGCCCTTGGAACCCTCAACTGGTTGATTTTTATCAGAAAAAATGCTCACCCTCTAATGCTGATGTTAGTCATGACGGAATTTGTTGGGGATGGTGGCCTGGGCTGTTGCTGATGAAATCTGGAATAAACATGGGGGGGAGGGATTAACAACTATCACATTTGATATCACACACATATACGCAACATCACATTAAGTCAGATATTAACTAGCAAGAGCCCATTTACACAGACAAGTGGAAAAGGAAGTACACATTGGAAAAAATATAACACACCCTGGTTTCCTATGGGTTTGCTTCCACTGAGGTTAGACAAAGTGCATGATAGGGTGTTAAGAAACCTGAGCGATTGTTTTTTTTTTCAAAGACACTGCACTGAGATAGCACGTTCTGGCCGGTCAGCAGTCTCATTCGATACACTGTGTCATGAAGTGACTTGCACAGTTGAGTGATTCCTCCTCATAACTTTGATTCTTCCTGAGGGGCACTATTCTTATCCTGGACAGGTGGCATGGGGATTTGCTAACAAGCTGGTTTCTGCCTTGTTTGTAGATAGGACACATCACTCAGTGTATCACTTTTCATCAATGCTTTTCATTATTGCTCGGCTGTGTAGATGGGCCTTCACGGTCAGGACCCCAGAAATGCATTGACCCAAACCCTGCCCAATGTAACAAGGTACAACGGATGCGCCAGACTGTCAGACCTTGTTGCATGATGGACACTCAGTGGCAATCAACTGCCAATTCCGAGACAACTGGAGCT